ACTGCTTTCATCTTTTCCGGGGCCAACGTGTCTCTGTAGTGGAACATGTCAGGGGCAATGTCGTCCCATTGCTCCTCGATTGCAGGCAATAGTGATGGGGCTTTCTGGTATACTGAAAAATTTAATAATTTTATCGGATGAAACAAAGTGAATGTGTATTCACTTCTTCTTAGGCTCTTATCGGTGGAGTAATTGCCAACGATCTCTGTTTAGCGCCTTAACTTTGCGCCCCTGATAAGACACGATATTAACTTTTCCCTATCTGATGTAAATAATTTCGTTTTCCCTTGCCTTTCATTGTATCGATATATTTAGCAGAGGAAAATCCACAACACCAGTAATCTTTAAAAAAAAGCTGTGTAAAGTCGCAACATGTTGAAAGTGTTTATTTGATATCGAGACAGGTGACAAACACTGCTAGGTGACAAACTATTATGAAAGAAATGAATGTATGTAGAAAACAACACGGCGCGTGACACGTGAATCACGCGATCGAAAGATTCCGCCATCTTGCGGTCCGAAGTGCGGGAGGTGAGGAGGCGGTGACGTCCGGCCAGCGTCGATAGAAGCCGAGCGCGGTAAAATTTTGTGCGCTAGGAGTGCGGCATTACAACGTAAAAAGTTACACATACCTGCTGCTGGGTACAGCCCTTCTTCTGACGTGTGGGTGATGACAAGGGGAACATCGTAGAAGTCTCCGATGATTGACGCCTCGTACGGATGTTTGGTTAGGAACGCGCCTTCCACGTCTGATGGTTCCACGGTCGGTAAAAATTTGGTGAACAGCTGTACTTTCCACTCCTGGATAGTTTTAAACAATTGGTTAATTAACGACTTCAAAGATAAAATTGTATTAATAAGACGTAAAATAAATACATAGGACTTTATTAATCACACGCACGCTGAGGTTGTTAATATAAAAAAAAACATGTTTAATTAGCAGCAATAAATGGTATTTTGACTTACAACAATTTACGTGTGAGGTGTCGTTTTTATTGTTTTTCTTGAAAATGTTATTTCCTGTAACACAATCGACTATTGCGGGTGGGCGGGGCTAGTTACTCACTAGTGTCATGTAGGGTATCGCGCTTGGTGATTTATTTTGGAATGCATTTATATTGCTAGTGTTACTACAACGTAAATTATGGCGTATGGTGTGAATAATGCACTAATTATGCTTTACTTTTCTTTTAAATAGTCAATCGCTTGTGTCGAAGTCACGTAAGTTTGTACGAGTATTTTAACATTTTAACACCACAAACAACAACGTTTGTTCTTTGACTATTTACAAAAAGTAATAAATTGTCCAAAAGTAAATTTTGAGTTTTTTTATTATCTAACGCTTTCTAGATCTGTGTATGGTAATTAGTTCAAACCTGCAAGCGTATTAACGTTTCGATCTATGAATTCAAATAGTTTTATTTTTATGCGAAAGAAAAATTTTATGAATAGTCGTGGAACAAAAGTTGTTGATGTTAGTAATATAGTCTGCGAGGTTGTTGGTATTTTAAAAACAACCCAGTAAATTATTTTTGCCAAATTAAAAAATTAAACATTAAAATTTACTTTTAGTTGTATCTCCGAATAACGACAAAACGATATCGCGCAACCATATAAAACATCGCTTCTACAAGGTACTCGTACCGAATGCTTTTATTTGTACGGACAAAAAGTACTTCAAGTTTGACGTTTGGAACTTTGGATCGCTTTTATCGTAGAGGCGCTCCCTCACCAGGAGCATTCATTTGTAATGTAACAATCCAAGATTCGGTTTTGAGTATTACATCACAATACTGCCTCACTGACGAGCATTTGCATTTGATACAATTTGTGACATCAATGCGCATGGCATTGATGTTACAATCACGGGTACTCTCACTCACTAGGTATAGTACGAATTGTATCATTACTGGTTACGTACTGTAATGCTCGGTTCTCCTCACCCACTGATGTAATGCTCGAATGTGAACTTTTACATTACAGGCGAATGCAGGCACTATTTGCGATCGGCGAATGTCCCTTGAGCTAAAGGGGAAAATATACGTGGCTGTCATTAGGCCTGTCGTACTGTATGGATCTGAATGTTGGGCGACAAAAAGGGAGGATGAAGGAACTGTGTATGTGTGAAAATGCTAATGTTGAGATGGATGTGTAGAGTGACGAGAAAGGATAACATAATGAATATACATCAGGGGAAATTTGAAAGGGCACCAGTAGCGGAAAAGACGAGGAGTAATAGGTTAGCGTGGTATGGACATGTCATGCGGTGGGAAGAATGTCATGTGACGAGAAGAGTGCTAGGTACATATGAAAGTGGAGGGATATAAGGAAAAGGAAAAAGTCAAAGAAAAGATGGATGGATTGTGTGAAAGATGACGTGGATAAGGCGATTATCACACTGCCCGCGCCCCGAGACGGAGCGCGGAGCTGCGTTTTTTAACGTTGTATTGAAGTACCTCAGTTTGTATGCAAATCACGCGCTGTCGAACACACTCACAACGGGTGCGTCTCAGTTGTTCGAAAATCAAATAAACTAATTTCAGAACATATACCGTTCATATAATATAATTTTCATTTGGACTAATTTCAGTTCCTATATTTTAACTTCATATAATTGTTGTTTGATATAACATTCACATTTTATAACTTTTTTTAAAATAAAGCTCATATCATATAACTGTCATTTCATATATTGTCAATTCTGATAATTTTCACATAGTATAATGTCATTTTTTATAAATAATAATTTGTGTCTATTCCAGTAATTGTCGTTCGGATTTTCGCTAACAAATAATCAAAGGATTCATTCAGTTGACATACGTGTGCAGTTGAAACATTAGTATTCATATTTTTTTAAATCTTTGTAATGAAGATGAATGTTATCTTCGGTGTCTTTATTTGAGTAAACAAAAACCAAATCGACAGTATAACTGCAGCTTCCTGAATGGGTTCGTATTATTAACCATTCTTGTCAAAGAAGGATCTCAGCTACGTGTACAATCACTACGGCGATCAATTACGAAGCGAGCTGCCCCCGCGGGATTAAACCGCGCGTTGACGCAGATCTGCGTTTTCGCCAACGCGCGCTTGATTCCGCGTCCCGCGCAAGGTCACCGTCCCCGTCGAGGTGGGCGGTGCAGTGTGTTAATCGCCTAAGACAGGTATGAGTATAGAAATGACGGCTGAGAGGGGAGAGTGGGAGAAAAAGACGGCATATGTCTTTTTCTTCCACTCTCCCCTCTCAGCCGTCCCACCTAGCGTGGTATAAGGACAGGAAGAAGAAAACATTTCAAGCGAATGCCCTCGGTGAGGGAGCGCCTTAAGAGGCAATGAGTTAAATTTAAATCTGAGGTGGCAAACTTGACGTGCTCCTGACTCATGACATAGGTATTATATACACTAAACTCCGAGTATCAGAGCGGTTACTTACAAACATGGTAGTAGTGACATTAATTAACGCATTGCCATCAACTGTTCTAAGGCACTTCACCATTTCTTCACTGTTCGCAGTAGGGCAACCAACCCGCATGGCCAGTTTCTTGGCGTACTTGGCTGGCGTTGAGGCGAAGCTCCAAGGTAAGAACGCTGAACCGCTTAAAGACATGGCACGGTGAAACGTTCCTGAACACAAGTGAAGAGGATTAGGAATTAGAGGATGCAAAACTATGTGCCCGTGTATGATTATGTATGTATATATGTATGTTTATAATATCAAGTGACAGGAAGAACAAATGGTTCGCCTGATGGTAAGCGAAGCAATTACAGTTACACTCAGAGCTTTATATCACAAAGATCTGAGGGTCACTGCCACAGCGCCTGTCACCCTGAAACTAAGTCAAAGTCAAAGATTATTTATTCCATAGGTAAAATAAATTTACACTTGAAAACGTCACATTTAAGCTACTGCTCGTTCACTACGCTCTAGCAAGAAACTCTAGGGATTGCTCTTTTCAAATAAACTTAAATGCTATGGAATACACTTTGGATCAAATTTGTGTGGATTCTGGAGCCATGTCGTCTTTCCATACATCTTTATCTAACACGTAGTTCTCAATTTTGTAATATGATTTTTCGATCAAAATATTTTTAATGTAGTTTTTAAACTTAGGAATTAGGAAATGATAAACTTAATATTCGCTCCGGAATCTTATTGTAAAAACGTATACAGTTCCCCATAAAAGAGTTTATTTATCTTGGTTAAACGAAATCGTGGTACCATGAGTTTGGACTTAGCTCTAAGGTTAATATTATGCATATCTTCTTTCTTATTGAAATTATGAATATTTTTACGGGCATATAAAATATTTGAGTAAATGTACTGTGATGCCACAGTCATGATACCAGTCTTCTTAAACTTTTCTCAGAGAGAAACCCGAGAGCCTAGACGGTACACAGAACGAATCGCTCGTTCTTGCAATAAAACAAGTTGACAAGTTCCATGTGCCTGTAATTTCGCCAGCACCCTTACCCTTCAAAACTGGAACGCAATAAAACTCACATTACTGCTTGGCGGCAGAAGTAGGTAAGGCTCTACTGCTACTAAAAGTTTATTCATGACGCTTCACTTACCAACATACAGCAATCATCCACCTCGAAGTTAACGACACGATAACAATCTAAGACCTATTATCGACCAATTTCATGTAATGTACAGTAAATTGTTGCCACATTGCCGTGCGATATTGACTCGTGGCTACATTTTGCATCCCTGTATATTGAATGACCATACCATACATTGACGGCCTCCGTGGTCGATAGGCTTGCACACCGGTTTTCATGGTTTCGCCATCTCTGAGGTCCCGAGTTCGATCCCCGGCCGGGTCAGTGTAGAAACTAACTTTTAACTATATTGTCTCGGGTCTGGGTGCATAACATCAAGCGACGGGACGAACAAGAAGTGCGCCTGATGGTAACCTACATGCCTGTCTATAATAGCCGCTCACGCGATGCGCTCATCCTACCGCAAAATGGCGGCTATTTGGTTTCGCAAATTAGAAAAGGATTCAGTTTAAATACAAGTTTTTAAAAATAAAAATTTATATATAAAAATTATTCTGCATTGCTAAATAAATACCCTCCGTACTACAACAAAAACATCTCAAATAAAATGCAGTAATACACCATAAATCCTGCACTTAAAAAGCACTAATTAAATTTTTGGTGTATTTGGGTAAATATGATAATATTACGTTTGAGTGGTTCTAATGTTTACCATGAAATTACTCCTTAAAGTATAGTTTATAAACGTTTATATTCAGGGTAAACTTAAAAAACGCAACTTACGGTATGTTTTCAATAAATAAACACCGACATCCCCAGCCCAAACAATAACACACACGATTGTCGTGACGTATTTTTGAAGTTGTATATTTTTTTTAAATGACAGACCCAGTCATTAAAAACTTTATGGTTTGCCAGAGTAGTTAACGAAATAGCAATTAGTATTAGTCCTTTTACCTGTTATAACTTCGACATCCGATAAATCGGTATAAAATCATCACCGGCACCTCTAGGTGTGGTATGCTTCCAGAGACGCATGAATCGCGTGAGCGGATAGACACAAGTGCCACTCAGAGCTTTAAATTGCAAAGATCTGAGGGGCACTACCACTGCGCCCGTCACCAAGGGATATAAGTTGACAAGTCCCATAAGCCTGTAATATCACCCTTACCCTTGAAAACCGGAACACAATAATACTTAACTTACTGCTTGGCGGCAGAAATAGGTAAGGTGGCAGTACTACCCCGGACGAATTCTTTCACAAGCAGCCATACCGCTTCTAAAGTTAGTTTAGTTTTAAAGGGTAAGGGTGCCGGTGAAATTACAGCACATGGGACTTGTCGACTTAAGTCTCAGGGTGACAGGCGCAGTGGCAATGCTCCTAAGAAGGACATGAGCAACAAAGATTATATCGAGAGCGTCATCTGTACCGCGTCGCGCAAGCTTGGCATCTTGAACAAGGTGCACCGATTTTTTACTCCAGAGCTGCGATACCTGTTGTATAAAGCTCAGGTCCGAAGCAGCATGGAGTACTGTTCGCACCTTTGGGACGGCTCTGCCAAGTACTTGCTCGATGCCCTAGATGGACTGCAGCGCTACGCCTTCCATGTTGTCAACGATCCTCATGTAACTGAGCATGCGGAGTCGTTACAGCTTCGCAGAGATATAGCGTCTCTTAGCGTATTCTATCGCCTGTACCACGGTGAGTGCTCTGAAGAGTTATTGGTATATATGTAGATATATCCATAAGTATGGCGCTGCGCGCCGCATCAATGACGAGTAATAAACCGGCTTCGATACGTGACAGTTGTTTCCTTTTACTCTCATACATAGCAGTGACGACGAGGATTTTTTTTTTAATTGTTTACCCGCGAGTTTTTTTGTAAATTGCAATAATGTCGAGTTTCATAGGAAATCTTAGCGTTTTTGATCAAAATACTCAGGAATGGGAGATATTTCATGGTCGTTTACAACAGTTCGTGACCCTGAACGGTGGATTAGGAGACGACGAAGGAAAGAAACGTGGCTTGTTGCTGACGCATTTGTCAGATGATACCTACAGATTGGCCCGTAATTTGGTGCATCCAAAAACGCTCGAGGCTGTTACGTATGACGAGTTGGTACAGGTACTCAACGAGCATTTCATGCCGAAGAGGTGTACGTTTGCTGATAGAGAAAAATTCTATGGAGCGTCAAGAGCAGAGAGAGAAAGCATCGAGGAGTGGGCGGCACGCATTCGTGGACTTGCCGTCCATTGCGACTTCGGTAGCGCGCTCGATATGCTTCTGCGAGACAAGTTCGTACTGGGGATGAGTGCTGGTCCCGAACGCGATAGGCTTTTTGAGCTAGATGCCACCAAGGTCAAGTTCGCCCGGGCGGTGGAGGTGGCGCAGCAGGCGGCGTGCGCTCGGCAGGCGCGGGCCGTGGCTGCTCCGCAGCACGTTAAGCTGGAGCCCGTGTACCGCGTGAGCGGAAAGCGCGCGATGTGCGCGGCGGGAGCAGCGGGCGCAGCAGGTGCGGCAGGAGAAACGGGGCGCAGGCGCACTTACGAAGTGCGGTGTTGTGCTGTGTGCGGTATGAAAAACCACGATGCTGACAAGTGTCGTTTTAAAGGTTATCGGTGCCGCGGGTGTGGTGTGAAAGGTCATTTGGTTAAAGTGTGCGAAAAAAAAAGTGCGGCTCGTTTGCATAATATTGACGTGGACGAGGGCCTGTCATCCGTGGAATGCGATGAAGGCAAGGATTGCAGAGAATGCGACCTATTTAACTTAAGGTACGTCAATTGTTCTCCAATTTTAGTGTCGGTTCTAGTGAATAATAAAAAACTTGAAATGGAACTAGACTCGGGGTCGAGTACTACGGTTATTTCAGATAAGTTATATCGTAAACAATTCTCAAAAATGGAACTAAATGCAGGTGATATCAAAATGTGTTTATACAATGGTCATAGAATCACGCCCTTGGGATACTTTGAAGCCAAAGTAACATATTTGAACAGAACAAAATTATTAAAAATTTATGTCATTCAAAATGGCGGGCCACCATTACTGGGGCGTGACTTTATGACGAAGTTTAAATTATATTTTATGACCGCTAATAATAAGATTGTAAGTTTAGACCAGGGTTCGAATGAGGTACCACAATTATTAAACGAATTTTCCGATTTATTTAGTGACGAACTGGGACGGTTTAATAAATTTAAGGTGGAATTGCATTTGAAGGAAGGCTCAGAACCGAAATTTTTTAAGTGTCGCACAGTGCCATTCGCTTTGAAAACGAAAGTAGAAGAAGAAATAGATAGACTAGTGAAATTAGGCATACTTGTTTCAGTAAATTATTCGAAATATGCAACGCCGATTGTGCCCGTTTTAAAAGACAACGGAAAAGTGCGAATAGCGGGGGATTTTTCCGTTACGCTTAATAAAGTTATTTTAATCGATAAGTATCCATTACCTCGTATAGAAGAAGTATTCGCTAAGTTAGGCGGAGGTCAACATTATACAAAACTGGACCTCAGTAATGCTTACAATCAATTCGAGTTATCTGACTCCTCCCAAGAGCTAACAACGATAAATACTTGTAAGGGTTTATTTAAGTATACTCGTTTAGTGTATGGCTTAGCGAACGCACCAGCAATATTCCAGCGATCCATGGAAACATTATTGGTAGGTATAGAGGGCGTAAGCTGTTGGTTGGACGACATTTGTATCACGGGCCCCTCCAAGAATGTCCACATGAGCAGGTTACGTGAAGTGCTGAGCAGACTTCGCGATGCAGGTCTTAGATTACAAAAAGAAAAATGTGCATTCTTTCAAGATAGTGTTACTTATTTGGGCTATGTCATTGATAAAAATGGATTAAAAACATGTCAAAAAAAGGTCGAGGCAATTTTAAATGCGCCTTCCCCCACCAATGTCCTCGAAGTAAAAAGGTTGCTAGGTGTAGTCAATTACTACCGTAATTTTGTGCCTAATGCATCTTCAATTTTATGTCCCCTGCATGATCTGCTACGCGGGGGAGCGGAGTGGGAGTGGGGTGAGAGGCAACAGTACGCTTTCGAGAGTGTTAAGCGAGAACTATCTTCGAATAGGGTTTTGTGCCATTTTCAGCCTTCTGCAAAA